CAGGGGGGCGGGCCCCAGGCAGCCCCCGGCAGCAGCCAGCCTGCTGCCGGGCTGTGGCTGCCCTGCTGCGCATCCACATTGCTCATCCGAACCCTCGTATCCTGGATAATGCCACTCTGGGGCCTCGCACCCAAACCCTTGTATCCCAGATAACGCCGCTCCAGAACCCTGCACCCAAACCCTCATATCCCTGGTTAACACAGCTCCAAGACCTCTCACCCAAACCCTCATATCCCCAGACAACAAAACTCCATGACCCCCTCACCCAAACCCTCACATCCCCCAGATAACACAGCTCCATGAACCCCTCAACGTGCAGTCCTGGAGCCTACCATGATGCCTCGAGACACATGCTAAACAGCACACTTACCCTGAGGCCGCTGCCCTGTGGCCCAGAGGCTAGCCGTGGCACAGGGAGCTGCCCGGCAGCATAGCCAACATGGTGTCACCATCTGGGGGGGCCCCAAGGGGATCCTTGGGGGCCAGGCTCCTGGTGTCACCCTGCTCCCAGGCCCTGCACCACCAGCTACTTCCACCAACAGCAACAAAGCAATTGGGACATTTTTACCCCTCACTTTCCTGAAAATGGACTGTTGCCACCCCCACCAGCATCAGCACGTCCCCAGCAGATACCAGTGTCTCCCCAGCTGGATCTACCTGCAGGACTGGGGTCAAGGTACTAACATCAGTCTTCATTTTATTTCCTACAGCTTCATAGGGCTAAGGCATTTTCACAGTGAAAAGGGGTCTCGCGTTCACTGTTTTGCTTTAATTAGAATTGCTCGCAGGTTAACTTTCAGGTTCACAGAATCTGGGTGTCTCCTAAGACAATAGGCAAAACAAAGAGAAGAACCTTCTTCTCTCTCCCTCTTAAAATCCAGCATTCAATAATTCACTGCTTGAAAAAGGCTGAAAGAAAATTCTCCCGTCTCCCGCGCTGCTGCCTCTGCCGCTCTGTGTGTTCGACGGGGGAGACGCCAGCTGCCTGCGCCGTGCGGGCAGCCCCGTTGCAGGCTCACCCCGCAAGCAGCACGAGGGTACGTGCAATTCCTGTGATTCCGTGAAAAGGACCTGGGGCTAGTCAGATACATTCAGTGCAGCACAGATCACAGATTCAAAGACCGTGATTTTAAGGGACCTGCACTTTACTCAGCAACTCAATGACACCCTCCCTGGTGAGGAACATGACCTCACCAGCATTTTGACTCCACACCTCAAACGCAGGGGGGTCATCACAAACCCTCTTCCCAGCTATTATCACATAGGGATAACCCAGTTTGTTGGCATCTTTTAGTCTTTTGCCAATGGTCAGCTGAGTCCGGTCATCCAGCACCAAGTCGCCGGCGAGCTGAGGCGCAGCTTCAGCAAGGTCCTCATACAGGCGCTCCATGAGCGGGGCTCCCTTCTCCTCCTTGCTGCCCTTCTTGGGGGGAATGAAGCAGACCTGGTAGGGGGCAATAAGGCTCGGCCAGCGGATGCTGTCCTCCGTGGAAAGCACCTCGATGGCCGCTGCCAGGATGCGAGTTACACCCAGGCCGTAGCAACCCATTTCTGCCAGCCGGAGCTTGTTCTCGGCAGAGTAGAAGTAAGCATTGAGCACCGAGGAGTACTTGGTACCCAGATAAAACGTGTGCCCCACTTCAATCCCTCGAGTCAGGGTTAGCGGTTCCCCACACGTGGGACAAGCTGTTTGCTCTGTGCTTATCATTTCCATGTTGGCCGCAAAATGCCCGGCAGGGCACACAGCCAGCCTGTCCTCACCGATGTCTGCTGGGAGCTGGAACTCGTGTGACATGGTGCCCCCGATGCTGCCCGTGTCCGCCTGCACCTGCACAAAGCGAAGGCCCAGGGCCTTGAACACGCGGCAGTAAGCATCGCACACCAGCCCGTAGGTGCAGTGAGCCGCCTCTTCGGAGGCATCAAAGGTGTACATGTCCTTCATGTAAAACTCCCGGCTGCGCAGCAAACCGAAGCGGGGCTTGGGCTCGTCCCGGAACTTCCTCGTGACCTGGTACAGGCGGAGAGGGAGCTGCTTGTAGGAGAGGTTGCTCTGAGCGGCCACCAGGTCCGTCACCATCTCCTCGTGCGTGGGCCCCAGGCAGTAGTCCTTGCCGTGCCGGTCGGCCAGCCGGAAGAGCTCACGGCCCATGTGGTACC